CTAGAACCTTTCAAAAGCCTCTGAGACTCGGCCCCTGTGAATTCATACACCAGTTTCATCCCCCTTCTTATGCGGCTCGCGCATCGGGGTATGCGCATCTCCTTCCACGGCTCCAACCGAGGACCTTCAAAACCTCATTAGTACCCTGCCACTATCCTCATTCCCGCCCCCATTTCCTCTTCGGGATGGGGCTCATGATATCTGTAACCCTGCCACGTGTGGGTCAGGCTTGCCTTTGGTCGCCCAGAGCAATTTTTCAATTCGCCCTAGGCGAGCCAGCAAAAAAGCCTGCTGGAGCGGCTTATTTTGTCCCCCGAGCTGCGCCTCCAGGACCTGATGATTAATGATTAATTAAGGGCAGCCGAGTCCCTTTGGAACATGACGAATCCGACTCCACCTAATTAACCCCACGGCTCCTCTCCTCGTGTACCATTACGCCCTTCCACCTGCCTGCCCCACACGGGTGGGGAGCCTTCTCAGAAAACCGGCAGACGGGGGGTTGGGCTGAATCCGAGCCAAGCTCTTGCCTCTCGCGGGTCCGGAAAGCAAAATGTGGGCGTGGGATGCCCGTCGGGGGCCTCCCCAATGAGGCCGAGCTTCTACGGAGGTCTTGGAGGGCCAACGGGGTCTCCCAGATCCCAAGCCCCCCATTAAAAGCCAGCTATTTCCCCCACACACACAGAAAATAGGGTGGACGGTTTCCCCGTCGCATCCCCATCACGGAGGAACAAAACCCGGAGTCGAGTCACCATTGCCTGGAAAAGGACACAACTGGCTTGTGGTTCCTGCAGAAAGCAAACCTTGATCCCTTTTAGTGTAGCTGTAGGGCTTTCTCAGAACTAGATAAATCTCTTTTTTTGCCCTCCCCTAGGCCCCCCATTAAAAGCCAGCTATTTCCCCCCCACACACACACACAAGGGCCTGGATTTCACGAAAGGTAGGGTAGCATTTGCCAAAAGTGTCCTCTTTTAAAGATCTCCATCCTGAGATCTTTTGGGGTTGCTTTCCCGACTCAGGACGATACCCTTCTAAAATCAAAACTGTTCTCAACCTCTCTGTATTCGACCCAGTAGCAAATACAGTGGTGCCTCCTCCCTCCCCTAGACAAGGGCCTGGATTTCACGAAAGGTAGGGTAGCATTTGCCAAAAGTGTCCTCTTTTAAAGATCTCCATCCTGAGATCTTTTGGGGTTGCTTTCCCGACTCAGGACGATACCCTTCTAAAATCAAAACTGTTCTCAACCTCTCTGTATTCACCCCAGTAGCAAATACAGTGGTGCCTCGAAAGACGAGTGCCCCGTTTAACGCCGAAATCGCATTACGATGAACTTTTAGCGATCGCAAAAGTGATCGCTTTACAATGGTTTCAGTGGGGGAATTTCACTTTGCGATGATCAGTTCCCTGCTTCAGGAACTGATTCTCGCAAAACGACGATTTTCGGCCAGCTGATCAGCTGTTTCAAAATGGCCGCCGGGTTTAAAAAAATGGCTCCCCACTCTTTTCTGGGATGGATTCCTTGCTGCACGGGCCGAGAAAATGGCCGCGCTATGGAGGATCTTCGCAGGACGGTGAGTTTCAAGCCCATAGGAACGCATTAATCAGGTTTTAATGCGTTTCTGTGGGCTTTTTTATTTCGCATTACGATGTTTTCGTTCTACAGCGATTTCGCTGGAACGAATTAACGTCGTAATGCGAGGTACCACTGTACTCTCAATGTATTTTATTTTATTTTATTATTCTTTATTTTGCTGTGATCTAAACTCGGTTTTGCCCTTCGGCCTTCACGAGGCCTTCGCTTCTGTCGTCAGCGATGTCTTATCCTCGCTATTATTATTATTATTTTAAACACGCACATCCTCCTTTTCACAGCTAACTTCCTGTCCTGCATCCCCTCAAAATGCAAGCCTCACAGTTTTGGGAGGTTGGCCCCGGCCGGCAGGAAGCGAATGCATTCGGGCAGCCGTGGGATGAACGGTGGCCAGGTTCCCCCAAAGAGAGAGCCCCCCCCAAAGGGAAGCACAGTTTTGCCTTGGATTCCTGGCCAGCTAAGGGGCAACCTATATTTTTTAAAAATATTATAAGAGAGGCTAAGAGAAGGGCCATCTGACAACCATGAATGCTCTATTTCATGGTCCTGAATTCGAGTTCCGAAATCTCCCCTCCGAGCTGCAGAAGAGGGAAAGGTTTCTGTACGTGAAACCCCAGAGAATCATTTCTGCTTTTTTGCACCGCCACTGGGCGGGTGAATCTTGTAGAAACTGCAACGCCACGTCCCTCCCGGGCATTGTTTTAATCAATCCTCTGGGCAGCCTCAGGAGGACTAGAAACTTAAGGTTGCTCTGTGATAGTTTTGCAGACACCAGCCCCCGCAGTTGAGGCTGGACAGCCTTCATGAGGACTAGAAACCTCCATGGTAAACTCTCCCATTTGGCAGGCTCAAGGATTGGGCTGGGGAAGGCGCCCTTTTGATAGCCACAGATCGGTGCTCGCTGTCTGCGTGGATGGCCAGCGGTGCTTCTCGGGAGTAGCCACAAGCCAAGGCGCCAGACCCAGTAGAGGCCCTGTGGGTTGCGTTCCTGTCGGACAATGGATCCCATGCTTCCTGAACACCCAGGCCCCTGTGCGGCAAATGCTTCTCATGTCTCGCTTTGGAGCCGTTTGGCACACGAACCTCCCAGCATTTTTTTGCCGAGCGAAGCTGGAACGTGAGGGTCAAGCCGGGAGGAGAGCGAGGAAGTTTCCCCTTAGCACACTTGGCCCAGGCAAGGAAGGGCAGTTTGCACCCCGGAGCCAAGAAGCCCCGAGCCAAATTGGATTTCACGGCATCCCTCTGACAATATGATCAGAATCACCTTTTTCCTCTTCCCCCAGCAGCGGTGGGACTACAAAGTCTGTCGTCCCCAGCAGCAGGGGCCTCTCTAGTCGGGGTTGATGGGTGCTGATCTGAGGGACAACCTCTCCTGTCCAGTTTTTTCAACTCCCACTGGCTCTTGGTAGCTAGAGTTTAAACCTTCGTCATCATCTTAGAACGGCAGAGCGGGAAGCATCCCTCTGGATCATCGAGTCTGGCCCCTTTCTAGGAGGCGCGGTGGTGGATTTGAACTCCCAACCTCCAGCCAGAGACCTCCACTCCTGAGCCATCCAGCAGGGTTTTATTTTTTAAAATGAACAGCAAATCCCACGAGTGTTTTTCAAATCCGGTGTGGCCCTCCCACACCGCAAGGGTGGCGTCGGCTTTGGTTCCTCCCTCTTTGCAAGGTTTGTGTTCGGGTCTTCCTCTCTTCCTGTGGTCCTCCTTCTTTTGAGCCGAAGGAAAAGGGGTCGCACATAGGGAACGTCCTTCCCGTCTGCCCGTCTCCTTTTCACGTCTGTGTTGGCAGCTCTTCTTTTTACGATTTCAGCGCTCAGCAATTCCATGATCTCAGCATCTCTGCGCTAGGGCTGGATTCAATCTTACAACGCCGGGTGCAATCCAGAGAAAGAATGAAAAACACACACACACACATACACACACACAAGAGATCTCGGCTGCTTCACTTCACCCTTCTTCAAATCTCTCTCCAATGCAATCCGGATTTAATTAGATTAAAAACCCGATTCCTTTGCAGGCGGTTTTCAAGCCATAAATAAAGACCGGGGGGGGGGACTCTCTTTTTTGGCTGCATCTCGCATCTCAGATGCAAACCAGCTGCTGCACCTCAGTGTGCTGTTAAAATTTGCACACCACCTCCCCAGAAGACTTTGCTGCTGATGGAAAAACCGTCTCTTTTCATTCCCCCCCCCCCACATTTGGATGTTCTGAATCTTCAAATTCCGCCCATCCGTGGCTGACGAGGAAATCTGCCAATTCATCAGAAATCTCTTTTTCTCCCCAGTGGCACTGGCCAGATCGAGCAGAAAAAGAACCTTATCGTATATGTTTGTAATTTAGGCGGTACCTCCTAAACCGTAAACAGAGGTGGCAGCTTATCAAAAAAATAAAGAGGCCAGGACTGGAATTTCACATGGCAAACATGGCTGAAAATTCAGTTCTCCAAATCTAGGCTGTGAAAAAGGAAGCACTAGAGGTTTCCAGCTGGGATCTACCCGATTCATTTGAATTTTTAAAACCTCAGCTTCTTTTCCCTTTTGAGAAGATGAGAGGAGAATGAGACAGGAAGGAGGGAGGGAATTACCCCGGGACTTTGGCAACTGAATGGGAATTTAAATGAGATATGTGGGGTAATTCTACCCCCCCACCCCACCCAGTAAAGTCACAGTACCTTTTTAGGTTGCTTTAAGGCCCCAGTGGGCAGAAATCGGGCTTTAAATCATGTTCTGAATTTTTTAAAAAATGGATTTGTTGACCATTTAAATGGAAAAAAAAAACAATATCGCAATTTAAATCCATTTTAGAAAAATCATTGGTTTTTATTTCTTGTTAGCCAACGCCCTAAGTTGGAATCAACTGGACCATCGTTACTTTTTTCTCCTTTAAAACAGAGGGATACCAATGTAACCAAAATAATAATAATAATAACAACAACAACAACAACAATAAAGATAAAAAGACCATGTTTTTGTTTATGGTGGTCTCACACTCTGTGGAAAAAGATACTAAAGGTCATTTGCTAATAATAATAATAATTTTAAAAAATTGTTGCCATTTAGTTTTAACCTTAGTATTTCTATTATTTGTTTTATCCAAGAAGCTCAGTGCCCCTGTATCAGTGGGAGATCGGTTACAAGCCCATGGAGGCTTAAAAATGCAGATTAAAATGAACACTGTATATGGCATGATGTCTAGTGGTCAGTTCTTGTAACTTCCTCTTTAGAAATATATTCTTAGGTTTTTTTTAAAAAATGTTTTTATATTTTCAAACCGTGGATAAGTGAATCAGTGGATACCGGTTCCGCGGATACGGAGGTCCTGCTGTATCTGTTGGTCTCTACGGAAAGGAAATCAACAGTCCGAACTGATTGATGGCCTACGTGCATGTTTCTGCTTTCTTTTTCCCCAGCTGGTCAGTGAGAAAGTCGGAGGGGCGGAAGGCACGAAGCTGGACGAGGATTTCAAAGAAATGGAAAAGGTGAGTCGCGGTCCATTTCGGGACGGCAGGCAAGATCCGGGCTCTCAGTTCTTCTGTCCCGCCCCCCCGCCACCCCAGAGTGGAGAAAAGCCACTTTAAAATGGGTGCCGTGCAGAGAAACAGATTATATTTGCACTCATGATGCGAACCGGCAAACAGCCGAGCGTCTCCAGTCAATTCGCTTTAGGTTTGGGAAATGCTTCGCGGTAGAAGGGCGTGGGGAGGGGGCAATTAACTTTGTAATAGGGCAGGGATGGGGTACCGCCTTCCAGATCCCAAACGAGGGAGCCAGCTTTGGCCATGGGCAACCCCATCGGGGGGAGAGTCTCCCCACGTTTAGACGCCTCGTTTCTCTCCCTACAGAAAGTGGATCTCACGAGCAAAGCCGTGGTGGAGGTCTTAGCCCGGACGACCGAGTACCTGCAGCCCAACCCGGGTGAGGGATCTTCCGCAGGGTTGTCGTGATTTTCCGTTCCAAACGCCCCGATGCCCTACGCGTGGCTCACAATGTGGATGCAACCAGTTATAAGTAACACAACTGATTAGTTCCATGGTATTAGTTCCATGGGGAGGAGACCGGCTAGACTCCAAAAGTAATCACTGTTGTTAACGTGCCGCCGAGTCTCTCCCGACGGAGGGCGACCCCGTGAACGAGCGACTTCCACAGTCTCCAGTCCTCTGCTCGGCTCTTGCCGACTCAAAACCCATGGCTTCCTTTTGGGAGTCCGCCCATCTCGGGTGGGGGGTCTTCCTCTTTTCCTGCCGCCCTTCCACCTTTCCCCAGTGTTAGGGTCTTTCTCCAGAGAATCCTGCCTTCTCGTGATGCGCCCAAAGTAGAGCAGAAAGTTAAATGGTGGCCCAAATTCCCCCCGGCTTAAAAATCTAGGAGGGTTCTGTCCAGCAATAATGATATTTACTGTATTTTCAATGCCTGCCTTGCTTTTCCCCCAAGGATTTCTCTTCCATTGCCTATTCGTGGCTTGTATTCAGTTCAACGTCCTCAAAAATCAGTCCATATTCTCTGCCCAGGGAGCAGATTCAGGGGGTTCACAGGCCTGCTTGGGGGGGGGGAATCTCTGCCTCCCACTTCACCCTTTTCCAATAGATCTGAGTTGCATTGCCCCCTGCGAATCTGCCTTGAAACCTTACCAGGCGGGGATGATGGGTTTTGGTGTGAGAGACTGGGAGGTGGGGAGGGAGGGGGAATCCTTGTTTCCGGACCTCACTGGGTGTGTGATCTCAGACCAGTCTCGCCTCATGTGCCTGGCCTACCTCGTAGGACCGTCGTAAGGGCAGAGAGCAAAAGAGCTTATGAATCCATCTATAAATAAACAAGAGACGGGGAATCCCTCGCTCGCTGCAGAGGGTTTTCGGAGTCCCCGGGAACCCTTGAACCCTTCCGCACAACGGGGTGCCGATTCATCATCATCATTCTCCAGCCGGAGACCTGCCACCTGCTGCTCTCTCTCCGAGCATATCTTGTTGACCCGGCCACGGCAGGACTCCTTCCAATCTTGTTATTATTTCTTGAAACCCGACCTTCATGCCAGGAGTATTCCCGGCACCGTTTCTGGAAAATTGCGCCCCTGGGATTCATCGAGAGCTGGCTGGCCAGGAGCCGGAAGGACTTTTCGCTTTCTTTTCCCTGCAGCTTGCCTTTAAATTCATGGAGCATCTGGATTTTTGGCAAGCGTCACCGGGACTTATTTTCTCTTCGGAAATGGCCCTCGTCGAAAAGCAAGTGGCTGTTTCCGAGCTGTTGATCCAAGAGGTTTTCTTGGCCCCCGGGACGATCTGTTATTACTGTTCCTGGTTTTGTTTTGATTTTAATTGGTGGTCACCTCGAGGGTTGGACCGCCGTGGCTCAAACGTGGCTCCCTTCCCCCCTCCCTCCTTCTCTCCCCGCAGCCTCCCGGGCGAAGCTGACGATGCTAAACACCGTGTCCAAGATCCGGGGTCAGGTGAAGAGTCCTGGGTACCCCCAGTCGGAAGGCCTCCTGGGCGAGACCATGATCCGGTACGGGAAGGAGCTGGGGGACGAGTCAAACTTTGGGGACGCCCTGCTGGACGCTGGCGAGGCCATGAAGCGCTTAGCCGAGGTCAAGGATTCCCTGGACATCGAGGTCAAGCAGAACTTCATCGACCCCTTGCAGAACCTGTGTGATAAAGACTTGAAAGAAATCCAGGTAGACCCTCGCCCGCGGGGGGCTTGGTGGGCCACCGACCTTCACGCCGAATCCGGCCCGCCTGGGGTTCCCCCCTCTCTGCCCCTCACGGATGCCCAAGGGGGCCACCCTCCTCCTCCAGACACCTGGTTTTTCAGGTTCCCTGGATTTCTGTAGGGTTTCGCACCCTCCCCTCCCCACCCACCGCATCCTTCTAGATCAGGGCAGGGCTGGAGGGGGAAACCACTTGCCGGTTCGGTCCCTTCGGCGACGGGGCTTAAGGCGGCTTCTGTTTTCCTCTCCTCCCGCCCTGGCCGGTCGCCAAAGCACCACCTGAAGAAGCTGGAAGGCCGGCGTTTGGATTTCGACTACAAGAAGAAGCGTCAGGGGAAGATCCCGGACGAGGAACTCCGGCAAGCCCTGGAAAAGTTCGAGGAGTCGAAGGAAGTGGCCGAGACGAGCATGCATAATCTCCTAGAAACGGACGTGAGTACGGCCCGGAGGCCCCTTCCCCTTCTCTTTCAGCAGGCCTGGGGTCCTGCCGCGTCTTGGCTCTGTTGGCAACAAGCCGGCCACCCCGTTCTGCTTCTTTGCCGACGAGAGGGCCAAGAGTTCAAGTCAAGAAACCTGCTCCGAGCCGCCCAATCAGTCCTTGGCGGTGGCCCAATTTGAACTCGGCCCTGCGGGCCTTTTTTCCCCGGCCTGCCTACCGGAGCGGTTCTGTGGAAAAACCGGGGAGGGGGCATTAATGGTCGCTGGTTTTCCTCCCCCACAGATCGAGCAGGTCAGTCAGCTGTCGGCCCTGGTGGACGCGCAGCTGGATTATCACCGGCAGGCTGTGCAGATTCTGGATGAGCTGGCGGATAAACTCAAGCGCAGGTAAAGCGCTGCCTCCGTGCAAGTGCTATAGTATCCTTCTTTAGGGGCGGTCTGTGAGGGAGAGAAATAAGACCATTGGACCCTCATATCCTACACGGATGCTACAAACCCGTGGATAATAGCAAGCTGTCTATGTAGAGTGGTCTCTGGCTCCCTCTCGTGGCCAGTTTTGGTCATGCCAGTGTAGAAACACATAAGTGGTGCCTCGCATAGCGATTGCATTGTATAACGTTGAAATTGCTTTGCGATGAAGATTTTGTGATTGCTTTTGTGATCGCTTTGCGATGTTCCCTATGGGGGAATTTTGCTTTGCGATGATCGGTTCCCTGGGTAACCGATCATGGCAAAGCAAGCTTCTCCGACAGCTGATCGGCGGAAGGAGGGGCTAAGGGCCTGGCCCCGATCCCCGAGCGCAGCCAGAGAGCTGCAAAGGAGGCGGCGGCTGGGGACCGGGATCAGGGCGGTAGCGATGGATGGGGGAGCAGCGCGCCAGAGACCCCCTCCCTGCCCCTTCGGCGCCTGGGCTCCCGCTTGGGCTGAGCGCGCCTTCCTGCACATGGGAGTGGGACACGGGGCGCGTGTGCTTGGCCGCTGCTGCCGGCAGTCTCCCCGGGGGCCTTCCTTGCCCTCCCTGCTTGGCTTGGGTTGCAGCGGGGGGGGCGATGTGGTGGGGACGCCCCGGGAGCCGCGGCCTTTGGACACATTGGAGGCACTGGGGGGGCAGCGGCGGACGGGGCAGCGAAGGCCGACCC